GTAAAGCGCTCCTCTTTTTCTCAAGATCCGAAGGTTCAGTCAATCCTACAAAAAGTCCCCTGTGACGTGCCACCCCCCTCCCCTACTCTGGGGGCGCTCACACGCTCTACCTTTATCTCATACAGCTTCAGCTTCCTCTTGATGCTGCTGTTTTCTCGTTCCAGGCCAGCGAGTCGAGTCTTGATGTCGTGGTAGGCAGTGATGAGGGCGAAGTGGGAGGCAGAGTAGATGTCATCGGGGATGGGGCTGGTGGGCCAACCCACCCCACAGACATCCTCCTTGAGTCCCTCGCCCCCGCCCAGGAGGCCCAGCTCTCCCCCGAACAAAGACTCCATCAGTGACCCTCAATCTGCAAAGCAAGACACAAACAGAAAACTGGAGGATCAGAGACCACTGTCGGGGTTGGGCAAAAAAGGGCATTACACTTAAATTCAAGTACATCCAGGGCAAAGAAAGTATTTCAATAGATATACTCTTCATTTCTGACTAACACATTCCACTGTTACCTAGGTAGTAAAACCATCTGGTAAATGATCTATTCTGCTAGTTTCTATTTTTATTAAAACGGTCATGTGAAATTTTTATCATACTCTCTATATATATCTTTTTCTATTTATAGAGCATTGGCGGAGGAAGGCACACAGAGTTTTGTTGTACATGTACAGGAAAGATATTCTATTCTCTGTAACTGGTCCCTTCGATTCCACTGGCATGCAAATATATTAGTTACTTCAGGCCTTGAAACAGTCCAACCAACACAAATGTGTCTCATTAAATGCATTAAAAGCTTATAGCTGTACCTGAGCAGGAACAAAACCCACCCGCTCCATCCCAGCCCCCACACAGCCATGCCACCAGTCCTCAGCGGGCTTGTGTATAACATGCAATACACACATTTACAGTGTGAGTTCCAGGAACAGAAGCCTGCCGGCCCCTGCGGACCTCTAAACTGCAGCCTGCGGGGTTCCACTTGCAAATCAGTGAAGGGCAAGCGGAGGCCCGTGGACTGCAGCGGATACGGCCTTAATATCAAGGCACAGGTGCATGTGTGAGCCAGCGAGGGTAGCAGAGCAGGAATCAACCTGCAAACTACTCCAGCACAGCACAGGGAACAGGGAGTCCCTGCTAAACACCCCCCCCCCCCCCCACACACATACACAACACACTTTCACAAATGGACCCCATGGGGAGGGTCACCACTGAAGATGAACAGATGATAGTAATGAGGAGTGGACAAGAGTAGCAGCAGCCGGGGGAACAAGGGCTACTGGGTGTTAGCATTGGCCATGTGGCGTGTTAGTGGGACCGCAAGCAGCCACAGGAAATGTGCTGCACTTCCAGGTTCTCCAAGCTTGACTGGCCGAATGCTTGCTGAGGCATGACTGTATTTTCACAATCCTTTACTGTGTTTTAGCCATGACTTTTAAACGTTGCAAATCATTACTCATATTACAATACAGTATAAAAGAATCCAGAGGCAACAAGGTTAAAGTCAGACATATGATGCAGAATTTAATGCGCAAATCTGTTAAATCGCGCTGGCTGTGGATCCTACATGACTCATAATATTCAGGTTTACGTTGATATGTTAACTTCTGAAGTTGCTCTGAACAACCCGCAGACATTTGCTGCCTTCGAACACAGCCAACTATGAATGTTCTTCAATTTATTACGGCCTCCAGGATAATCTGGGAATGGGCCACGCGAATTCGCACGCAGACTCAGGCAGGCGCACAGCCCAAAGATGCTGGTGGAAGGCTGCTGTTTGGGAGTTTAAGAGCAGGTATTAGAGTGGATGTAAGCTGTAGATTTGCAGACTTACCAGCCCATCTAATACATACAATAAGGTAGCCCAGACTCAGCCTTGGATACTGTCATCCCTCTATTCCTGCACCCATTCACCAGTGTTCAGGAACCTCTTATCTAGTTATGACTGATCTATCCTGAGAAGGAAAACTGTCCCTAACCCCCAGCATACAGATCACCCTGAGTACAAATTAGATAGATGTCCCATTCTGTTTTGTGTGTAATTATACCCTTGACCCTTTTTTAACATGTGTGGGGTTTTAAAACAAATGACACTTCACTTTATAATTACATTGTATGTGGACACATTCATTATTGCAATCCAAAATGTCTTAGTAGCCCATGGGAAAAATACAGCTATTATACAGCGCCCCCTGCCTTCACCTCACACTATCACTCCATTTTTCATTCAGTATCCTGGTTTTTATTTATATAATTTGGATTAATTTCTTTAGTAAATTGCGATAACTGAAAACATTTAACTTGAATTGCCCCTTTCTTCATTATGTAAATACCTGCAGGCTGCCCTTCAACAAGGGTAATTAGTAAATTGTCTCATGTAGTTAAGTACTAATCTTTTTTTTCATTTGAGACCTTCTGGCTTTATGTATGAACAAACCAATCAGAATGATCCTGTATGATACACCAAGTATTCTTTAAAACAATGTACAAAACTTTCATTTTTTTGCTACAGGAAATGATTTATTGTACTTGTGTCCATTTAATAATCCCAATTGCAGTATCTCTATATCAACCAACATTTTATTTTGTTGTACTATCAGCTCTTCTTGTTTTCTGCTACTACTTACTCTGCTACAATTAAAAATAGATTATATATGAAAACTACACTAAACAAGTTTTGCATGCAGTTTTAATACAAGGAGAGAACAAAAGTCATTAAACATAAACATCTCACTAGCAAACCTCTTGGGACAAGGGCAGTTAAAAACAGAATCTAAGAGTGTGCTGGCCCACCTTTGCTCAGAGTCCTTGCTTCTATGAATTTATAGAAATGTTCTACCTGCTTCTGGTAGGTTCAGCTGTACTCCCAATTTGGAGTGCTACAATCCTTCATTTCTAAGAATACATAACAACAAAACAATAGAGTAAACAAACACATAACATAAAAGCAAAAATAACTACCGTATTGGCCCGAATATAAGACGCAGTTTTTGTTCTAAAAATACCTCTTAAAAAGGGGGGGGGGGTCGTCTTATATTCGCGGCTGTCTTATTCGTGTTTTGACTTAGCCTAAATGACTCGGCCACCGTCCCTCACAACAATGCCACAACACTGAATAATGAAGATGTCAAGAGGTTATCTTGAACAAAGTGGTTCGAAGGCTCGTCAAATTAACCAACATCTTAGACGGAGTTATGAGTTCAATTTCAAAATTATAGTAATGAATATTCCCGAGCTATATTCCCGTCAAATCTTTACTCTGTTGTTCTTTTTTTTAGAATGCTATTCATGTCACCAGGCAACAGAGTTTTCAGGAAATAAAGAGTTGAAGTGTCTTATTTAATAGCACTGCGCTAACACAGCTTATTCCATAGGCTATAGAAATTGACATATTGAACTTTTTTTTTTTTGTTCCAACAAATTGTAAAAGATCGTTATCAAATAAACAAGTTTTCTATATAAGACAAAATCTGGTCTTCAAAAAACTTTTTCCCAAAAATGAACTTGGAAAAGGTCACGGTGGGGTCGTCTTATATTCAGGTCGTCTTATATTCGGGCCAATACGGTAAATGTACATTTTTTTTTCTATGGGTATACCTCTAGATGTAATCAGAATATAGAGATTTGTTTGCCCATATTCAATATATTTTGCATGTGGGTGAATGTCAAAGTTTTCACAGACTGAAAAATGTCAGGTGGCACAGCCAAAAAATATTCTGTTTTACAGTTATTTTTTTTAAATGAATACCTTCATGAAGTTACCGTTTAAGTGTCTACAATACATCTGACATTGTTAATTCGTATTAGTTTTTTTTGCGTTTATGACATTCATGATTAGTAGTAATATTAACTGTGCTTGCGCCACCTGCATTTTCAAGCTCATTTCAAACTGTACAAGCCCAACCATGAGCTGAAAATATTTTTAATACAGTACAATCCCGTTATGACGGACTCTGAGGGATCTGGCAAAACAGTCCGTTATATCCAAAATCCGTTATATCATGAGTTGCTGTTTGCCCAGAACACAACTACAGGACACAATTTACTCATGCCACACCCCAGCAGACACACTTGTGGTATAGATTATTATATTGTACATGTAGTAATCCAACTTTACCTGACTGTTGGAAGTATATATGGCCTATAAGTGGTTATACATGTACGATACAGAAGTAACCTTGACCTCATTGCTTACTGTATCCCTCCAGCCGCGAGCGTCGTCTGCCGACGCAGAGCGTGACTGATGATGGACAGCCACACAGACCAATCAGTGTTGCCTGCTGTTATGCCATGTCTATGTATAGAGTGTGACTATTAATAATCCTGACTACGTAGGCTACCTGCGCTGGATATCACCGGCACGCCTGGCGCCTTGTAGGCGGAGCCTGCATGTCCGTTATAGCCAAACAAAACTACAGGAAAAAGCGGCCCTGGGATCAAATTGTTTGTACGTTATAAGTAAAATTACGTTATATGCGAGTCCGCTATATCTGATGCTTTTTCTGCATGTTCTTAGAGGCGCACGGCCAGGACCAGCGGACCTCATCCTTTATAGACGATATTCCGTTATAAGCGAGTCCACTATAAGTATAACTGGATTATGTCCTTGTTCGAGAATGTTTCTCCAGTACGGTCTTTAATGTCATTTGCGTGTTTCCCTGTGTGAGATCCTGAATAAAGCACGTGTTCCTTGACTTCTTGGATCCCTGCTCGTGTTTCCCCGCTCCGTGCGACGAGACGGGAGCAGACTTGTTCACTCGCTTAAGTCACCATGGTAGCTCAGTGGCGATTCGTTGATGGAACAGAACTCCCACTTAAATGAGCCAGATTTGTCGAAATTAGTCAGACTTTCCCTTAATCCTGCTTCGTGAAACACCCCCCTACTTCATGCTGTGAAATGAGTTGCGTTGTGAATCTGCGGTCGATTACATTTTCTCAAGGACCCGGATGTGTGTCACACTAGATTGAAATTGAATTTGCTAACTGAATTTTTCGAGGTAGGATAAATGCTATTTCGAGTTACTGGAATTCAGATTCAAACTATTAAATTCAGATTCAGTTTTGTAATGTGGATAACTGCAGATTCAAATATACAAAATTCATATTCAGTTTCTAGTGGCACAGATATCAGCTCATATCTTGCATATCACCAGTGAATATCACTGAATGAAAAATTAAGCGCAGGTTTATTCCGGAGACACAAGATCCAACAATACCAACTGGGTGAATCCTAAATATTCCCTGGTAATAACTCTAATCCAACAGATTGGATTTAAGTGTTAAACAGGTTAAAATTTTAGCTCTCTAGATATGTGTTTAAGGGTTTCAGAGCCAAAAACTAAACCGAAGTTAAATTAATATATTTTCAATTAACGATTATGGTTTGCTTCCGCTAATTTTTTCAATGGTTTATCAGTTAGCGGTATCGAAATACAGTAGGCCTATAGCTTTACAGGTAGCGGATTAGCAGTTATCAAAGCTAAATTTTCGGTTAGCTAGCTGTGCCCATCACTGACTTAGGGCAGCGAAGTACTCCATGCGTTAACTTGATTATAGAAATGACTTTAAAATTAACACAACGCATTAAGGAGATACATTTCCCATAATAATTATTATTATTTATAATTTTCCCCCATATGACTTATAGACGCAAACATACACACAGACATACATATCCATCTCCAAAAGCCAGTTATGCAATGATGTGTCATAGTGAGCCTGGAGCTGATCCCAAGAAGCACAGGGCATGACGCAAGGGATGCAGACAGGATGGCCATCCACCGCAGGATAGTTTAATGGATAATGGTTAAGTGGTAATTTAAAGCTAAATTGCATGTTTTTGGACTGTTAGATAAAACCCATAAAAACTTGCTAACTCCACACACAAGCATACAGAAAACCAATCACTTTAATTGCACCTTACTAGTATCTATTGTTGCTGTGTCTGTTCAAGCAATATGGGTCCTCTAAATCAGACATCAGAACACAGACAGGTTAATGCTCACATCATCAGTTGCCGCATTCCATCGCCCTCATTGCATGTGTTTGCCCTGTAGGGGGGTGCTTCACAGAGGCTGTTTTGGACCAGGTTCTGGCAAAGCCACTGGGAACCCATTAACAGGGCTGTAGGGAAGAGCACCATCGATGCCAAGGCCGGGTGGAACAGTGCTGACACAATGTGTGCAACCCAAGTCTGAAAAGGCTGACCCAGCTGCCACGCAGACTCTTCCATGCTGTCCCCCATCTTACTTACTTGTTGTCACAGAAGCTCCTGACTGAGGAATGCTTTGAGAAAGACTATTCTGCCTATTTCCATTCCTAGGCCTGGGTATAGGTGTGTTCCTCACTAAGTACGGAAGGCAGTAAAGATGAGTAATCCCAGGGCAGGGTAAACCACTCAGATTAAGACCAGTGCTATATGCCCAATCACAATATACATACACCAAGAACTTGAGGTATAATCCCAATCACCAATGTTTTCTATTAATCACTTCCACTAAAAATCACTGCATCTTGTCCTACTTGATTGTCCTTGTATGTTGTACGTGTATTGCTTATATATTATATATTTTGTGTATTGTATGCATAATGTTTGTTCTTGCTTTCTATTCTGTTATTACTCTTTATTGTTCTTCATCATTATTTGGTATTTAAGTCTGCAGGGTGGTACGCAAGAAAGTATCTAATTATACTTGTATTTATACAAATGACAACAGAGCTTTAGAATCCTATTAAAACTGTGGCAGATTTTGGACCCCACATCCAGATTTCAGAACACGCCACCCAATGCCTGTATTGTTTTCTTGTGTGCATTTTTCCCTTCCCTGACTCCTGCTACCAAGTAAGGTTCCCTCCCAGTATCCAACGGTTCTGTTCACCATCCTGCTTGGAGTGCTGCCTGGAGTGTTCATTTTTGCAGTGTTGCTACCAGCATATTCCCTGCCACTCAAAATGAAAAAGCAGCATGGTCCACCTCAAAATCCACATGAAATGCATGTGCATTGGTGACCCATGTCTTGTTTGATCTGCTACATACATGGGTGCTGTGAAAGGGTGATGAGTACAGAGTTCTTCCTTCTGATATTCTACTGGGACCAACTTACAGGGTGTCATGCAGCCTCAGCACTTCCCTTTGGCCTTATTGCTAACCCTGACCTTGCCAGAGCACTGACCTTTGAGAAAATGAGGTCTGCACGTAAACACACCAGATTCTCGTCTGGATCAGCGCATGTCATTCTCAGCTACTGATAAAGATGCGGCAGAGTGATGACGGCCTTGTAATTTCCAAGGATGCCGACACCCATCACAAGTGAGCCGACAGCTTATAGCAGGGGAGGGGAGACAGAGATGGACGAGAATAATAAAGAACCATCCTAATAACCCCCCACCCCCCCCCCCAGGTACACAGTGGCAGAGAAAGCACTTATGTTCCCATCTAAGGGCCAAAGGAGGCTGGAGGACACCATCTGGAGGCCTGTTGAGGTCCATGTCAGCACCCAGCTGGGGGTGGTGGGCAGGGGGGCATGATGCAATGCAGTGGAATCTTTCTACAAAGTTTGCATGCTGAAACTACTAAGTGAAATTCAAGCTGAACTTCAAACAGAAATGTAAGAAAACATCTCAGTAGAAAACCTGATACTATTGGTAATACTGCTACTCTCCAAAAAGGTCTAGGGTGGACCAGAGAGGCATTCATTGTGACAGTGTTCTATTTTCAGTTTTAATTAAATCAGTCATTACTCAACTACAACATCTATGTCATTAAACCTTACAATAACATTTCCTCAATTCTCATATCTTTATCTTCTATGAACTGCAAGGAGATGCAATTTTTAATTTTATATGGATCCATAATTTGATCTGCTTTGATTTATAATTTGATCATACCTATATAATTATTTGCAATTGTATAATTGTTGCCATTGAATAATTAAAACACAGATACATGCAAAAATAGTTAGGTGAATTGCAGAAGCATGGATGTTCCACCAGACAAGCCTGCAGAACACAACAGAATCAGAAAATCAGAAGTGCTGTGTTAGCATTTCACTCAGCTGATACTGACTGCTTTTCATGCTAAAGAAAATGTTGACAAGACTATACAGCTAGTGTTTGTTGCTATCTATTTCATTTTAGGCACATATAATCAGATATTTTATTCATTTATTTTTGAGAATTCTGGGGGTCACTGCCCCAGAAGAGCTAGGGGATGGAGTCCCTGGTAGGGCTTGTGTGGAATGGTCACTGTTCTGCCCCTATTTGTATGTCAGCTCCCCATTTGGCCAGCAGATGTCACTGTCTATCCTGTCTCCCGATGTTTCCCAGGTCTACTCTATTCCTAGTTTGTTCCCCTGCTCCTAGGGCTACTGCATGACTGAATGGGCTACGTGGGCAAGCATCTCCTTTGTCATGGGTTCGAACCTGGCCTTAACTTGAACATTATGTTCTGTGCCCCTAAATTCCATTGTATATCCTTGTTTATTATGTTCCTTGTGTTCTTGTATGATTCCTTGTTTTGTACCTTGGTCAGTTGTTTCTGTTTGTTTTTAGTTTTGTAATCATGTCATGATTAATCTGTTATATGTGTATATATGTGCCTTCCCTTGCCGTTGTTTGTCAGTTGGTCATTGTGTTTGCAGCTGTTGTTTCCCTGTGTTTGCTCGCTGCTTTGTTCCTGTAGGTCTTTCTTGCTTATGCTCCTTGAAGCTGTTTGGTTTTAGTTTCTCCTTGTGTTTTCCCTAGCCTGTTGAAGATCTTGTTTAATTAACCTGCCTGTGTTAGACCCCTAGTGATCATTTTGTTTCTAATGTGTTTTTTTTTATATTTTTTGAGTTCATTAAAGGTTTTGTTAGCTAGTATGTGAATTATTCCTTCACATACCATGCACGCCCAAAACAGGGCTAGAGTCCCTAGTGAGGTAGGGGCTAGAGTCCTCTACGGAGAAGGTGGGTGGTTAAAATCCCATGGTTCTGGTAGCATTTTATTTAATTATTTGTCTGTTTGTATGTTTATTTATTTATTTATTGCATATCTTAATTTCTTTTTCTTAATTTCTCTGAAACACTTTGTAAACCCAGTGGTTGAAACAGTGCTATATAAATTTTGGTTTGTGATCATCGCTGATTGCATCTTATCTGATCTGAAAACATATATAGGGGCAAATAGACTCGGATTGTGGCTTCCTGATGATGAACTTCAATCCAAACGTGGTCTTTGGGTTTAATAATTAGCCAGCAATTCAATAGGAATTCCAAAAAAATCAGTCTACTAAAGATGAAATCGGAGGAAGTAGTCATTCAAGGCATAAGTTCTGACTTCAGGGTTTTAGGTCCAACCTTCCCATTCTACTTATCAATCAAATTACGCAACCTGAGTTTCTCTGAATATCTATAAAATTATAGTTACGATGAAAGTGACAGTTAAGAGGCATAATTTCCCCCCTTTCATGAGTTTTTTGATAGTCACTGCAGGCTTGAGAATCTTAATGACCTCGAGTTTAACGCTGAACAAAAGCCTTAGTAACTATGGTGATGAATACTTCCCCTTTCCCCACATCCCTACTGTGCGGTTTCTTTTTATAAATAACTGGTAGTCAGTTAAAAATACCATAAATGCTGCAGTATTGCACTCACAGTTTTAATGATATTAATTATAAATTCTAAAAAAGATCATATTATCTGTACTTCATATAAAATAAAATTAAATAAGACAATAGGCTATCAAAGCATCATACAATTATTTCTAATGGGATTATGATGGTTAAAAATAAAAATAAAGTCATTTCAAATTATTTCCTATTAAAACCGTTTAAAACCCAAGAGAACAAGCTACCATCACCATGGTAATGTGTTTTTTTTCGCTAAAAAAGCATAAATAACAGTTTATGAATAGAAACACTTAAAGCATGTCCTAAGAAAGCAGCACAAGATGATTTGCAAGTCTGATTTCTTTGAAAGTGCAGCTGCTGTTACCCTTAAAAGAAATTCATTTCCTGACTACATATTTCTAACCCAGCTGAAGGAGGCAGCCGATGTTGGTACCGGGCCACCGCAGAGCTCAGAATACGCTACCGGTGTCTCACATTATGTAGATGTGTGATGTTCTTGGCGATGACTGGCAATCAGCATATTCATGCAGCGACTATCATTAACTTTGCAGGAAAGTGTCTCCGGCAGGCAAAGTCAGGTAGACTGTTCGGGGTCATCAGCTCCTTATTTATAGTCCTTATAAAAGATTGAATTTTGTTTCCCGTTGTCTAGTGACCCAGCTCAGACCCTGACGCCAGGAGCACCAGCAGAGATTTACGAAGTGGGGCGGGGGTTGGGGGTTGGGGGTTGGCGGTGAACCTTTAGTAAGCGGGACTGATTTTAATAAAAATGAATGAGAATGCTATTTAAACTAATTGATATATTTTTATTTGGGGGGGGCAGTGAACCTTTAGTAGGGTGGGACTGATTTTAATATAAATGAATGAGCATATGATTTAAACTAATTTATGTATTTTTATTTGGAAGGGGGGTGGTTAAGGAAGTCCTAAAACAGCCCTAGTGACCCCCCCCCCCCGGGGG